AAACGGGTTATAAGGAAAAACCCCGTATCTATTGTTCTTCTTTTGTATAAATCTGTTACAAGGAAAACAGTTGCGAGAAAGTTATAGATGTAATTCAAATACATGTAAAGTATTACTCAAAACTTGTCAAAGTTCAGAAATAAAAACTTGTCAAAGTTATTGCAAAAAACATGTGTTTTCCTATTTCTTTTATCGTATGATCACACCATTATGAAGTTGAGACATCTTCTTCATTAAGTGTCAAAATATAAAAGGGCCCTCTTTTATAAAACTCATGTTATTTAGTCATGGGATTAACAGAAGCATTTTTCAAAGAACAAAAATGCAGACTATTCTTTAAGTCCTTAAAAATAAAAAGGCAAGGATAGAACATACGGAAGTGCAATGATAAATAAAAGCTTCCTAATATTTAAAACTAAAGACTAAGTATAAACTTAGTCATCAAACTGTTTATACTAAATGCCCCATAACAAGACTTAGGGACTTGTATTTCCAAAAATCAACCCTCAAATAGTAGCCAAGGGTTTGATTACAAAAACTCTCAAATGAACCCAAAAGCTTTAAATACTGTTTTCCAAATAGGTACCTGCAAAAAGGAATTCAAAAATAGATATAAATTTTTACTGAGAGGAAAGGATTGAAGGAGGATCATCAGCGTGCTCAACTGGAATAGCATCACCAATGGAAGTGGGTTGATTTCCAACCATTGGACTATCAATAGATGAAGTTTCAACTTGACTTGCAGTAAGGGGCACGATTGAGCTTGAAGAGGGTGCATCACCCGAGGCAATTCTAGCGGTCACGGGAACATCGACTCCGGTAGCTTCAGCTTCGGAAACTTCAATCGCGGGAGAAGGGAAGTCCAATGGTTGTTGAGCTTTTTCAATAGTTTCCATCACCTTAGCTAACTCTGACTCCGGATTAAAGTTTTCTTTGCTGGCTTCAACTAAGGCATCACGACGGGAGTTCAGAAAAGCCTAGCTTACATCAACCGCAGCCTTATCTTCAAGAAGCTCATAATCTCTTTCCCAAGCAACAATTTCATTTTTGAGACTCTCATTTTCATTCAGAGCTGAGTTATAAGAGGCTTGGAGAGAGGCATGATATTTTTCTAAGGCCTTCACCTGGTCTTCAGAAGTTCGCAGATTTTCTTGGGTTTGAGTCAAATTCTGCATCAAATCTCCAGCATAAACTTCTTTTTGACTTAAAAGAGCTCTCAACTCTCTAATCTCTTCACTTGATTTAGATAATTGTTCTGAGAAAGAAGACTCGAGACGCTCTCTTTCTTTCTCAGCCTGACTTGAAGAAGCCTTAACAACCGCAAGCTCTGAAGTTAATGCTCTCACCTGCTGTTCCAGGTTATTCCTGCTCTCTTGTAAATCTTCTATTGTTATTTGAGCACTATCAAATTGGTCCTTCCAATTAGCTGCTTCCAACTGAAAGTCACGAGCTTCCCTCTCTGAATCAAGAACAGCCTTTTTAGAGTCACGTGCCACATTCTCTAATAAAGAAATTCTACTCATCAGCTCTGTACCAATAAGGTTGGCCTGAAAATGATAAGGAAAGAAAATTAGAATTCTAGAAAAATTCTGGCAAAATTAAGGAAAGAAGGGGCATACCTTCAAGGTGGAATGAACTATGTCGTTCATCAGAGTCAGGCAACTGTGGCTATTCATTTTTTCTTTCTCAATTGGGCCTATTAAGGGTTCAAGCCAAACATCCGCCTGACCGGATTTCCTCAAAAGGCTGTTGTTAGCAGGCACTTCGATAGTCACGCTCCTCATAGCAATCCTTTTGCTTGTAGAACCCGCTTCTACATTGTGAACAGTAGAAGGAGGAGCGGTAGAAGAAGTGAAAACAGCAACGGG